TTGTCTTAACCCACTAAGTTTGGGGTAGTTTATTCCCCAATAATAGAACACTGAAACAATCTTATGATGATAAAAACTCACAGCATATTATCCATGCTGCATCCAGAAAATAAACCCAGCTTTAATAAACTTCCCTAAGGAAAAGTAATTTTCCTTTAAGAAGTCAGCATATGCTTTTCATTCTGGACTCTGTTGAACAATTTGGGGTGTATCTTCAGCTCTGTGAGCCATGTTTGCCTTTCCATTTATTTGGGGCTTCCTTAATTTCTTTCAGCAATAATTTGTAGTTCTTAGAGTATATATTTTAGACTTCTTTTATTAAATTCATTCTTATTTTATTCTCTTGATGTTGTTGTAAATTATTTTTAAGTATCATTTTCCAATTGTTTATTGCTAGACTTTAGAAAGAGTTGATTTTTGTATTCTGATCTTATATCTTGCAACATTACAGAATCATTATTGTTTCTAATTTTTTTAAGAAAAAGGCTTAGGATCTTCTACATATAAGATCATGCTACAAAATACATAGCTTTACTTCTTCTGTTCCAATGTGAATGCTTTTTGTTTCATTTTCTCCCGTAGCTGCTCTGGCTAGAACCTCCAGTATAAAATTGAGAAGTAGTGGTGAGGGTGGACATCCTTGTCTTATTCTTTTTTTTTCCTTTGTCTTATTTTTTTTTCCTTGTCTTATTCTTTTCAGGTAGGCGCTTATACCATTGAGCTATATCCCCAGCCCTCCTTGTCTTATTCTTGTGGGAAAAATATTCAGCCATTCCTAATTAGCTATGATGTTACTTGCAAGTTTTTCACAAAAACCCTTTATCAGGTGGAGGGAACTCCCTTCTATTTCTAGTTTGTTTTTTCTTGTTTTAATCGTAAAGGTTGTTGAATTCTGTTAAATGTTTTTTCTGCTTCTACTGAGAGGATTGTGTGGGTTTTGCCCCTCATTCTTTTAATATAGTATATTACATCAATTGATTTGTTTTTGGATGTTAAATTAACCTTACATCACCACTTGATCATAGTGTATAATCTTTTTTATATGTCACTGGATTTGTTGCTAGAATGATGTTGAGGCTTTTTGTGTCTATGTAAGAAATGTTGGCCTGTATTATTCTTGCTTGTACATTTTTGTCTCGTTTTAGTATTACAGTAATGCCTAAAGTGAAGTGGTAACTATTCTCACTTCTTCTAATTTTTTTGTTTTGGTAAGAGTTTATGAAGAATTGCTATTAATTCTTTAAATATTTGGTAGAATTCACTAGTAAAGCCCTCTGGTTCTGAGCTTTTCTTTGTGGGAAGGGTTTTTAAAAAGTATTACTATCGCTAATTCATTGTTTTATTACAGGTTTACTCAGCTTTTCTACTTCTTTTTGAGTCAGTGCCTTGGTCCACTTTCTGTTGCTATGACAGGATACCACAGACTGGGTAATTTATAAATGGTAATAGTTTTCTGTCTCACGGTTCTGGAGACTGGGAAGTCCAGGGCTCAGGGGTCACATCTAGGGAGGGCCCTCTCGTTTCATCATACCCTGACAGATGGCAAAGAGAGGGTCAAAGAAAGCAAGAGATCAAACTTGCAGCCTCAAGTCCCTTCATAATCGGCATTAAGCCACGCATGGTGGCATAGTCCTCATGACCTAAATACCTCCCACTGGACTCCATCCCAGAAACTGCTGCCCTGGAGATTAAGTTTCCAGCACCTGTTTTTGAGGGGACACATTCACACTATAGCCCCCTCTAGTCTCAATTCCTTCATTTGTAAAGTGGAGATGAAATGGATCCCACCTATTTCACAGGTTTCTGAGATGACACACGAGGATGAGACATAATGTTGTAAAGCACACCAGTGGCTACAGACCATTAGATGTTCTTCAGGAGCAGAAACCACAGCAACCATGTGTGTACACAGAGCTGTCAATGGAAGAAAAGAGGAAGGAAGGTGGGCAAGAACACACCATAGCCAAGGCTGTGCAGGCAATCTAGTTTAGCCAAGAATACTGCCTATTGGATCTTCAAGACTCTCCCATATCCAAAGAAATGGGCAGGATGCTTAGTAATCATCCAGACTGCCTGGAATGGGGGCTGTCAGTGTGGTTCCAGTTATGCAGGAGGATCGCTTGAGTCCAGGTGTTCCAGACTAGCTGGGGAAACAGTGTAAGACCACCCCCCCAAAAAAAAGATGTTTTATAAAACACATCCAGGTCGGTGTCCTCTTTTAACAGATTGTGACCTTCACTCTGAGAGATGCCCTGTGACCTCTCCAAGATCTTGTAGCAGAGGAACCAGTGAAATGATTAATCACTGAAATATCTGTACTGTCACAGTTGAGACAGTGTTCTAAAATGCATCTTACTTATTTTCACAAATTGCCTTTGAACTGAAAGTATTACAGTTCTTATTTTTCAATTTAATGTGAAGTAACTTGACCAGGTCACAAATCTAGCTGGTCATTACCCCAGGCACTACCATTTCCCTACACTGCAATTTCATGCCCATGTGAATACAGTTATGCACGGCACAATGACAGTTTGGTCAGTAACACTCGGTATGTGCAAGAATGCTTTTATCAGGTTATATTTCCTAGGGACTTGGGAGTCTTCTTAGTTTGTTAGTTTTGGAATGGTATGATGTCCCCACAATGATAAAATCACTTAATAGCACTTTTTTTTTTTCTGCCTTTTTGAGACAAAGTCTCACTATGCTGTTCAGGCTGGGCTTGAGCTTACTTTGTAGTCCAGGCCAGTCTTGAACTCACAATGATCCTCCTGCCTCAGCCTCCTGAGTGCTGGGATTACAAGTTTCCGCCACCATGCCTGGCATTAATAGCACATTTACCAAACTGTATCTCCATTCTCAAGTAATATGTGACTGTACTTCACAGTCATCTCAGCATTTGATCCATTTCAAATTCCACGTTCTGTTTACTAGGAGGACTTTTCTTATGTTACCCTGCTTTTTAGCAATATTCCCTATTCCATCTCCCCTGAGAGGATTCTCCTAACCTTTTGTCTTTAAACTTCAGTGTCCCCAGTTGGTGCAAGAAACATTTTCAAAACTGAGTTATCAAAAGTAGACTTCCCCTCCAGAGCATCTTTACAAAGTGCATGTCCACATCGTATTATGCAAATGTGCATCATCCTTGCACAAGCACAAGGGACCAGGTAGTCAAAGCACAAGGGTAGCTCACTAATCACAGAAATACTTAACACAGAAGAACCCAAAGAACAGTTTCAACAAATGCATAGAAAACTAAGACAAACACTTCCTGGCTGTATCGATAAAAATGATCTGTGTTCAAGGACGCGTCTCAGAGTGAGGTCAGCAACAGAAAAAACGGCCCAGATAACCGCAGCCACAAGTTCTGAACCTGTGTGTGCCGCTCTACGGGGGGAAGCCCAGGTGCAAGAGGAACACACTAAGGAGAATTGATGAGTGACTGTCTCAATAGCCGTCTCTTTTCTTTAGCATATAGGGCCTGCCCTTCCATCACAACCTGCAACTCAGGAGCAAGGAATGCTGTTTCGCTCCACGGGAACATTGTTAACAGGTTTATTAATGGCCCTTTGAACTCATGCAGGAGGCTCAGCCTTGCTCGGTCTCCCTGGATGTGCAGAGGTTCCTCACCAGCGGGCGCCCACGTCTCGGCAGGACAGTAACAAGCTGGGAGCAGAGGCGCGGCTATCCCATAGGTAACCTGCATCTCCCTTTCCCTTTCTCCTGAACAAGCCTTCAGTGAATTGACAGCAGTTCGCTCTGGGAAGCGCCGGCCTCCGCTCCTCCTCGGGTCCCTCCTTTCTCACTATCCACTAACCACAACACGAGGCCCCCTCCTCATCCCCCTCCCCGCTGTCGGAGGGCGCGACAGCTCTGCACCTCTCGTTCAGGGTTCAACGGACTTGGCAACCACCTGGTGAAAGCACCCCCCGCGCCGCGGTTGGGACCCCAGGCCTGCGCGTCACTGGGCCCCCACCCGAGGCCTGGAAGCGAAAACCCCAGGCCCTCCCGAGGGAGGCGCTGCCCGGGGCCGCGGGGGAGCCCCCACCCTCCACCGGTGACCCCGCAGCGGAGAGGACGCTCGTTTACCGACATGGGTGATCACCGTGGCCAGCCGCCGGGTGAGCTCTTGGTTGGCCATTTCTTCCTTTAACCAAAACAGCATTTCACCGAAGAATCACTCCTTGCGCACTAAACAAGCCACACGCAGCTGCGTCTGGCGCTGGCGCGGAAGATGTGTCAAGGCATCTCCTGCCGAGGATGCTGTGCCCGCGCCTCGCCTCGCCTCGCTCTCTCCGGGCACACAGCCAGGCTGCTCGCAGCCACGGCCAACTCTGCCGGACACACCGGGCACCCGCGCACCCGCAGGGCGTATTTCAGAGGCGCGGGCGGAGTCGTCCCCGCCGCGGCGCCCGGCATCGGGCGGGAGCGAGGGGAGCGGGCGCCGGGGCTCGGGTT